GATCTACCCAAAGAAATAACAACGTTATATTTTATTGGATACACCTGTTTGAGTAGACGCCCTACTTATATATATATATATATATATATATATATATATATAGAGAGAGAGAGAGATAGATAGATATGATATATAATATGAAAATAATTGAATATATATATATATATATATATATATATATATATATATATATATATATATATATATATATATATATACTTTCAATTATTTTTCATTTAAATATTTAACGTTCTCTCTCTGCTTCTCTGTCTCAAATAGGAAAAGTTTATGAATCTAACATGTTTCACTTTTGTTAAAGTTTTTTTCAGAGAATGAGACATGGGAAATATTTTTGTGCTGTTTGATTTTGATTGGCAAAGCAGACTTCATGTTCATTTGACTTGTCAAGCAGCGTCTCTTGCATATAATTTTAATTAGTCTATGTGGATTACGGATGGTCTCATGAAGTTTTGATTTACGTTTATTCCATTTTACGGCATATCAACAGCTCAATTGTTTATTTAATGCTGAATAGATTTTTAGAATAGGTTCGTATAAATAGAATATATTTTTTTTCTTTTTAAATGTATCGTTGATATTTTTTTTTCAAAAATCTATTCTTGGTAATAATTTTTTCTTTCAAAATGCATTCCTGGTAATATTTTGTTTTTCAAAAATTTATTGCTGGTAATATTTTTTTCACAGATGTATTGCTGGTATTTTTACCATGAAAATTTACTTTTTATACTTTCATAGTTTTTTTTTTTTCTCACAGTTTGAGGGATAACAATTTGCCCTTAGCTAGGGTCATAACAGGTGCTACCAGCCCAGGTCAGAGTGAACCTGTGAACAGCAACAATTAAAAGGTCATTCCGTACTCCACAAAACCTCCTGATCAGAGGCCTTGCTGCCGGATATAGTCTGTTGTTATGCTCAGGACGCAAGATGAAGTTTTAATAACAGCGAAACCTGTTAGATTTATAAACGTTCCCTATTTTTTTCTTTTTCTTATCATTCTATCGGATTCCGATCACTATTTGGTTTGCATTAGATCTCAATCCACACAAACAAACACGCATAAACACACACACATATATAAGCTGCTTTCATTGGTTCCCAGACTTCATGAATTCAAGCGCCCTACGAGCATGGCATCCCGCTCTCACTCTTTCACTTTAGAAACTTTTAAATGTAGCCGTCTCTTCTACTCCAATAGCTTCATACCTCACTCCTCTCGCCTGTGGAACACCCTTCCCTATTACTGTTTCTCTGAGAGCTATAATCTCCAACTATTCAAATGTAATGTCAATCGACATCTCCAGTTACATTGATCTATCCACTATCCCTCTCCTCATCCTTTCTTCTATCACTCCTATCTGCTCTCGCACCAAATCTTCTGCAACCCCCTGCATCATAGTGGCTGCACGCCTTGCTCGGGCCGTAATGCTTAAATATATATATATATATATATATATATATATATATATATATATATATATATATGCATGTAATTCAAGAAATTAATTCAAATAATAAATATCTAATAAATAAGTGATATTTATTTCTATGTATTCCATCCTGTTTGTATTTATACGTAATAGCATTGACTAAACTAAATTCTATTGGGTATAACTGGAAGATAACTTTTTATATCCGGTTATATTTCTATGTGAACCATTTGGCAAACCTTTATAAATACATGTGTGTCTCCATTGATCCCATGCCTGATTGGCTGGTGAAAATATATACCATTTTAATGGACAAATGTTTTTCATCCATGGATATTTACGATTGATATTTGTTTATGGATTTTTACTATATTTATTTTTTAATAGATTTTTATATTTTCATTTATTCATAGATTTTAAAATTTTCATTTAATTATGTATGTTTGCTATTTTTATTTATGTAATGGATATGTATTTTTTATGAATTGTTGCATTTTCCTATTTTTATTTATTAACATATTTTTAGTGTTTTTATTGATTTAATGAATTTTTACTATTTTTATTTATTTAATGAATTTTTACGATTTTTATTTATTTTATGGATTTTTACTGTTTATTTCTTTAATGGATTTATTTTTTATTTATTTGTCTAAATAAAAATAGTAAAAATCCGTTAAATAAATAAAAAATCTAAATTTCATTAAATAAATAAAAATAAAAAAATAATAAATAATAAAAATAAAAATACATTAAATAAACATTTAATGGATTTTTTTATTTTTTATTTATTTATCTATTTTTCTATTTTATTTATTTATGAACTTTTAGGATTTTTTATTTAACGAATATTTTATTAATTTAATGGATTTTTACTAATTTATTTATTTATGGATTTTTACTAGTTTTATTTATTTAATTGATTTTTACGATTTTATTTATTTATTTTACTATGTTTATTCATATAATATATTTTATTTTTTATTTATTTATCTATAGGATTTTTACTTATATAATGGATTTTTACTATTTTTATTTATTTAATGGATTTTTACTATTTCATTTATTTATAGAGTTTTATTATTTTTTATCGATTTAATGGATTTTTATTTTTTTCTATTTAATCGATTTTTACGATGTTTATTTATTTAATGGATTTTATTTTTATTTATTTATCTATTTTTCTATTTTTATTTATTTAATGAAATTTTTAGGATTTCTATTTATTTAATGGATTTTTACTATTTTATTTATTTATAGATTTTTACTTATTTTATTTATTTATGGATCTTACTATTTTTATTTATTTAGTGAAGTTATATTTGTTTCATGCATATAAATTTCTCAGTTTCAGTCTGATTTTAGTAAAATTTATATATTTTGTCTTTGTTTCCTTTTCATTAATTCTATTTCCTCGTAAATTATTTTGTACTTTATTCTTTTAAATTTCTTAAATATTTTTCTGCTTCTTTCTTTCTTATTCATGACGTACGTAGTGAACGATATTTTTATGTTATTTTTATATTGTACGTTTTTTTTTTATATAAATTTACTTGTTTCTGTATTTTTCTTCTTTCTGACAAATATTTCAAAGTCTGGTTTATTCTTTCTTCTCAATTTCGATTCTTATGCATTCTTATGTAATTCCCAATGTATTTCTAACTTCTTTATTTTTTTACAGATCCGCTTTTTCTCTTCTTGAGGTAAATATTTTGAAACTCTTTATTTTTAGTATTTTCTTTCTTTCCTTCCTTTCTTATGTTTTCCCTTTGCACATGCTATTTTATTATTATTAAATATCTCAAATTACGTTTCAAATCTCTTTTTTTTCTTCTTACCTACTCGTTATTAAATATAATTCATTTCATTCCTCTTAATTTCTTGTACACTTTTCATTCTCATTCATTTTCTTTTATCGACTCAAAATTCGCCGAGCTTTTTTCGATGTTAATTTTTTCTCAAATATTCTCAATTTTCTCCGTATTCTTATATCAATATCTTTCAATTTTCGTTGAAATTTTTTAAAGGATTATTTTATTTTTCCAACCCTAAAGTCGTGGTTTTTCTTTCGTTTTCTTCTTCTTTTTTTATTTTCTTTTTTTAATACTTGATTTTTACTTTCTTTATCTTCTCGTGTATTCTTCGTTACAAATAAGTCGAATCTCTTTCCCGCCTACGTGTTGGGTCTTTATCCGTATTTTTCCTTCTATTTTAATTTCAAACAAACCATTTCTATGCCGTTATTTTTCCTGACACTCTAATATCATTCTCTTTCGTTGTTGCGTTTACCAAATTTCAGATGCCTTCTTTCCCGCCAATTTACGTATCTCTTTATATCAAATAACCTCGCTTTCTTTTTTTTCACATTATGTTCGTTTCTGTTTGCTTTGTATTTGACAAGAAAAACCCTTTGTATGGCTGAAATTCAGGGCCAAAGACTAGGAAATCAACGAAAGTATTTATTCGTATTTTTTTCTTGTTAAATTCTAAAAAGGTACCATTTTAGAATTTACCCAATGTCGATATTAATTTTCTTTTATTTGCTTAACGGGATTTAACGTGGAACCTCTGTAAAATACTTATGGGGGCGGGAAGAAATTTTCATTTTTCCTGTTGAAATTCTCAACAAAATGATTCATTCATATTAGTATTATTTTTTTTAAATTCGCATTCTCTTTTTCGAGAAGAGTGTTACACTTTAGCATTTTATTAAAGACGTATTCCTCTATTTTTTATTCTCTTGTTTAATTTTTAAATCCTCCTTAATTTATTATTTGTTTTTTGTTTTTTTACGGGGGGGGGAATGTCATTGCGAGCCTCAAACTAGGTTTTTCACTTCTTTCCTCCATTTTGAATTCACAAGAGTTGAAGAAATTATACTTGGTTTCTTTCGAGATTTGAGTATGTTTTTCTATTTCAAGTATATTCTTTTTTTCTACTTCTTCGCTCTTCTTCGTCTTCTTCTTCTTTGTCCTCGCCGTCGTCCCTCTTCTCATTTTTCTTCTTTTTCCCATTTTGTTTCTCTTCTTCTTCTTTTGTCCCTCTTCTCCTCCTTCGTTGACTTCTTCCCTCTTTCCATTTTGTTTTTTAAATATTCCCTTCTTCTTTCCTCTTATCGTTTACTTCTTCTTCTTCTTCACATTTTATTTCTTTGTGAAGTGATCTCTTCTTCTTCGTCATCTGCTTCCTTCTTCTCCTTTTTTCTTCTTCCCTTTTTATTTCTTATTTAAGTATTCTCTTCTTCTTTTTCTTATTCTTCCCATTTTATTTCTTCTTGAAATAATCGCTTCTTCTTCTTTTTTTCTTCTTCTTCCCTCTTCTTCGTTTATCTTCTTTCCATTTTATTTCTTTTTTTAAATATTATCTTCTTCTTCTTTTCCTTCGGATTTTATTTCTTTTTGAAGTAATCTCTTCTTTTTCTTCTTCCCATTTTGTAAGTATTTTTTCTTCTTTTTCTTCTTCTTCTTCTTCTTCTTCGTCTTCTTCTTCTTCTTCTTTTTCTTCTTCCTTTTTTTCTACATCATTGTCTTCTTCACTGAAAGGAAAGTGAAATGATGAAGGAGAACATGTCCTATCATTTTTCTTTTCTTTCAGCACACACATTTATATTTCTTCCTTTTTCCTTTACAATTTCCTTCGCCTCTTAAATCACTAAACTTCTCTTTGTCACTTCCTCTTTGTTTTCTCTTTTCTCTGCTTCTTTATTTTTTCTTCTTCTTGTTCATTTTTCTTTTTTATCTGCTTCACTGCTTCATCCTTCTTTCCCCTCATTTTTCTTCATTGTCATCTCTATCTTATTCTTCTCCTTCTCCACTTCTTCTTTTTCTTCTTCTATACGTCGAATGAGAGTATAATTAATAGCAGTGTTAATAGTTTTATACAAAATAATAAACTCAAATCTTGACTTTATACCTGATATGCTTTATAATAAAAGATTTTTTCCTTTTATATCCAATAATCATTTTTCATTTCAAGAGTAATTTCAAGTATTTCATTCATTCGTTTCATCGTTTTAAAACTAATCATTCTTAGTCATTCTCTTCTCCACTTTATTCGGCCCATTTTTATGTCATTCTTTTTTCCACTTAATTATTTTCATTCACTTTCGCTGTATTTTACCATCTCCATGCCACTCCCTACATTATTTTCTTTTTCACGCCTTTCTTTCGTTCCCTACTCTCTTTCCTTCCTTCCTTCCTTCCTTCCTTCCTTCCTTCCTTCCTTCCTTTCCTTTCTTCCTTCCTTCCTTCTTCCTTTCCTTCCTTCATTCTTTCTTTCTTTCCTTCCTTCCGTCTTTCCTTCCTTCTTCCTTTCCTTCCTTCCTTTATTCGTTTCTTTCTTCCTTCCTCCCTTCCTTCCTTCCTTCCTTTCCTTTCTTCCTTCTTTCCTTCCTCCGTTCCTATCTTCCTTCTTTCCTTCCTTCTTTCCTTCCTTTCTTCCTTTCTTCCTTTCCTTCCTTCCTTCCTTCCTTCCTTCCGTCTTTCCTTCCTTCTTCCTTTCCTTCCGTCTTTTCCTTCCTTCCTTCCTTTCTTTCCTTTCTTCCTTCCTTCTTTCCTTCCTTCCTTCCTTCCTTCCTTCCTTCCTTCCTTCCTTCCTTCCTTCCTTCCTTCCCTTTCCTTCCTTCTTCCTTCCCTCCCTTTCTTCCTTTCTTCCTTCCTTCCTTTTCCTTTCTTCCTTCCTTCTTTCCTTCCTTCCTTCTTTCCTTCCTTCCTTCCTTGTTTCTCTACATTTCTTTCACACTCATTGCCCTTTACTTCTATACTTTGTATATTTTTTGTTCATTTGTTTTTCTTTATTCTTTTGTAATTTCTCCTTTCGTAGTTAAATTTTCTCTTTAATTTTCCTTCTTCCAATCGTGTTTCCTTTTCTTATTTTCTTTAATTTTTGCTTCTTTTTTCCATTATCCTTTTCTTTCTTTCTTTCTTTCTTTCTTTCTTTCTTCCTTTCTTTTACTCCCTTTTTTCTATTTAATTTCTCATTCGTCTCAATCGTTTTCTTTTACTTTCTCTTTCTCTGTTATTTTCTTTCTATCTCCATTTCATCTCTTTCGTTTATTTTCTTTTCTTCTCTGCCATCTTTCTCTTTATTCCATTTTCCTTTTTTCCCTCTTTACCCCTTTTTTTTCTTTCATTGTTTGCTATCTTCCTTTCTTCGTTTTATTTCTCTTTTTGCCTTTTTTGCTTCTTTTTTCTTCTTTTTTCCCTACCTTCCTTGCTTCTTTCCGTTCTTTTTTTTTAATTTTCTTCCCTATCGCTACATTGTTACATTCTTTTAGCTCTCCCTCATTTCATCCGGGCATTTTTATTCTATTTCCTGCTTCTCTTGTTCTCTTTCTTTAGCATTTACCTTTCCACTCCTTCCTCACTTATTAATTTCACCCTCCCTTAACTCTTCTTCTTTCCTCCTTCATCTTCGTTCACTGATGTACTTTCACTTTTTTTTTTACATTATTTTTCTTTTTTGTCTCCCTGAATCTGTCTGTCTGTCTTTCTCTTATTCCACTTCATTTTTCCTCCTAGGCTTCCTCACTTTACAACTGGTAATTCAAAATGCCGATAATGACGATGATTATTGAGATGATGATATGTTTCTACTGGGTGGCCGGCCAATTGGTCTGCCGGCACATTATCTCTCTTCGCACCGGAATGATGGCTGAAAACTGGACTGGCTTGCGGCCAGTGCAAATATGTGATTTATTCATAAACCGCTCACTCTTCAAACGCAAATAAATCAAACGTCCTATGCCATTTATTATCGAGCAGAACGTGAGGTGGGTGGAGGGGAGAATGAGAGATGGAAGATGAACAGGAGGAGGGGGTTGCCGACGAAGGTGAAAAAGTATACAATGAAGAAATAAGTACTGAAAAAAATGCCGGAAAATAAACTCAGACTCTGTCGATAAACACACACATATACGCACATATACATGCAGATATATATATACACCCATACCTACATACATATATGGTTGCGTCAAGCCCGGTAGCAACCTGGGCGCTCTGGTAAATACATACATATATAGATATATAGATAGATAGATAAACGTGTATGTACGTATATATATATATATATATATATATATATATATATATATATATATATATATATATATATATATATAAACATATACATATTAAGTTTATATCTATATATTTATATACAAACATATATACATACACGCACATACACACACACGCACATATATATATATATATCCATAAAATATATCTATACAGATGTATATATTGATTGATACATATATATATATATATATATACACATATCTATCTATCTGTTTATCTATTCATATATATATATATATATATATATATATTAATCAATTTTCCTTGTCTGTCATATTCAACAAACATGTCTGAAATAATGGATCCTGCCCAAATTTATATTATATATATATGTGTGTGTGTGTGTGTGTGTGAGAGCTTCCATACAAACGCTTTTGTGAGTCAATACGAATGTATATTCACTTCATAAATCTTAAAAGAGTCCTACCGTGGTGAAAAGGTTTCCCTGTTACTCTGGCAGAGTACACCGCAAGTTTAGAAGGCTGAATACCACGTTGAATTCTAAAATTCCTTTACCCTGTGCCGAAGAATGCTTATTCTTTGTTTGAATTTCTATCAGATTTAAAAAAATAAATAAATTAAATCTACTATGCTCACCACTGTTTACTAAGGATACACTGATCACAAAATCAAGTTAATTTATGTACGAATGGCCATTCGGAGGTCATTTATAGTTTTCTAAACATCTATCAGGAACCTATGATCAATGCAAATGCAGGAAGTCTGATATCTGTTTTTTAATAGAATATGCAGAAGTATTTGATCCGTTCCGACACTAAGATCTATTTGAACATTTTTTAATCATTTTTGTTGGGTTATTTCCTTCTAAATTTCTAATTTCTGAAACTGTTACTAGGGGACGCTCTCCAGCACTATATATACTCGACAATATCTTTTCTCTCGTCTTACTCGTCTGCTAACAGGACAACATGTAAAATTTCAAACGGAAGAACCTGATCTTTCTTGCGGGACACGCATGAACAATTTACACTACCGCCGCATTTTCCAGAGGGTGGTACATTCAACTACAACATACAAAATGACCCTGATGACAGCACTGGCACATGTCGTCGACATGTTTTAACACGCATCTCAACCGACACCTTTTCTTTTCAGCTCATAAAGAGAGAAACAAAACATTCGAAGAACTTCACATATAGACAGAAAATATCTCCTGCCTATCTGGAGTGTGTATTGTCGGGTTATTTCCTCCTAATTTTCTAATTTCTGAAACTGTTACTAGAGGACGCTCTCCAACACTTTATATACTCGTCAATATCTTTTCTCTCTTCTTAATTGTCCGCTTATATGACAACATGTAAGAACATGACCCCACTTGTTGGACACACTTCACTCACTACGGTACACATATTTTAGACCAAAAACTTTCCACACACATTGTCTTTGTCAATTGTAACATTTTTTGTTAATACATATTAATTTATTTGTACATATATAACAGTTCTTCTTGTTTCTTTATATGCCTTTATGGTGGACTCAATCTACGAGTCTGCCATGTTTGTTGTGGGCCATTTTAGGAGATACATGTGTTTATCTCACAACGCGTACACCGGCCCGCAACATTTCACACCAAGCAAGGCGATAATGCCACTAAGACGAAAGTTGGTGCTCTGGGTTAAAAAGAATGGGAAAACATTAGTGTGGAGAAAGGATAATAATAAAAAAATAAGACCAGATTTCATGGAATGCAGAAGATAGTGATTGGCATTTCATTTAAATTTCTGAACATTGTAGATGAAATGGAAGCAATAAATCGGAAGGAACTTCAACAGGAGAGAAGTCCGAGAAAAAAATCTGTTAGAATAGAACAGAAATTTGAATATAAGTCGTCCTGGAAACTATTAGAATAGAACATACTGTGATATCTGCGTTTCAAATGTAAAATTATAACACCTAGTTGCAAACTGCTATAGAAATGTAATTTATTTGATAGGTAGCTTAAAAGCCGCCCTATCGGGCGGCATTTAAGCTAGCTCCTGCGGAGGGCTCAATATTAGGCCTTCATCACAATAGGCAGGGAAGAGTAGATGCGATAGGAAACAATAAACTACAGAAGAACTCAAAACTGATCACTACATTTCAGTATTCAATTAATGAAGTTCAATGATAATTCTTCTGTTGGCACTTTAAAAACAATTTCATGTATGTAGGTCCTTACTTTCCGTGAAACAATTATTTTTATGAGTGACTTTCGCTGGATTTCACGATTAATTACGATTATTCCCAAATTTATTTCCAAGTTAACAAAATTGTTAACGTACAAAAAAATTCGCTGCAAAAATCACGAAAAAAATGGCTGAAAACAATCGCAGTAATGAAAATTTGGGAATCTAAAATTTCAAGATTTTCCCAGCAATACATTCTTGTAAAAAATATTCCTAGAAATAGATTTTTTTAGAATATATATATATATATATATATATATATATATATATATATATATATATATAT